GGACTCCGGTTAGTTTACCGTTGCCCGTTCGTAACGGCAAGTAATCTCCGTGATTTCACTAATGAGCCAGACTTAACTTTCCATGTTAAGAATTATCTAGTAAAAAGGCTATTATCGTCTAGTGAATAAGAAATGCAGATTAACTTTTTTCATAGTTTATGCAAACACTTACGTTTTGTCTCCTCCTTCAACAGCAAACGATAAATTTTCTTTGGTTCTATCACATCAGGTAGACAGGATAACTTTTCAGCTTCAATTAATATTCGTTGAAGTTCCTTGATCGAAAGACTTTGGTGGACAATCGATCGAGCGACCGACATCCAAAACGGGCAAAGTAATCATAAAAACAGTTATGTTCTCGGTAGAGCATAAACAAATTACTTATCTAAACCTGTGGAGCCAAGAAAGAACAAATTAGTCTTGAAATGATATGCAGAAAACTAAAATTATGAAGGACAAAAAGACACGGCTAGGCTATCATCTTCCTCTGTCCCAATCCTTAATTACAGTTTTAATCTAAAATAGAAATATACGAGACATCCTGGATAATATACATATCAAAACAAAAGCGCACAAATTGTATCTCCATAAAACATTCATGTTTTGATTACCTTTACCCTTATACTGTTGCTTTTTGGAGCATAGAGAGTAAAATAGGGCAAGCAAATGAGTGGTAGGTTGCAGTCCAATCAGCATCTCTTCCTGTGGCCGTAGCCGTAATTTACCGATAGCGTAACTTACGCGAACTGACTTGAAAATACGCTTTACATCAAGGAATAGGAAAAGAGAGAACGACAAAATCCACGAATTACCACATCTCTGTGCGCGCTGCTGAAAATTCTCATTGAAAAGCCTGCCTAGGGCCAGTTTCAGTCAAAAACTTAAGTGGAAAACTAAGAAAAAATTGGGGGACACTTAAGTCAAAGTTAAGTTTTGTCTTAAGTGTGTTTCACTAAGCACAACTTAAGTATGACTTAATATTTAAGCAAATATCTGACTTAAGTTTAATTATGGCTAAGTTGAACTAATCAAAAGTCAAAATCGTTTTGAAGGAGTTTTTTCAATTATGGCACACTGGTTCATCCATAGAAACTCATACTTCCATAAGTTTAAGCAATTTGAGTATAATTTTCGAAGTTTTGTACACTGTTTTCAAGAAGGAGCACACCAAGCGAGACTAAAGTGTATATGCATTATGTATTTTAGAAATATACCTTAATTTTCCTTGGATACATTCTGTAAAAAATAAATTTCAGCTTAAGTGTACTTATAGCTTCTGGCACTTCGAATTGTTGCTGAAACACTGACTTTTTCGTTGAAAGACTTTCACCAGATTTTATAACAAAAATGAAGCAATCAAGGCATTGCATCTTCGAGGGCTGTCAAATTATCATTATACAGTATAACCACGAAGAGAACGAGAAACTTCACAACCTCAGAACTTCAGAATTTCAGAATTTCAAACTTATCCTTATACAGTGTGCGATAGTCAGTCTTATAGAAAATGTCAGAATTTCAGAATTTCAAACTTATCCTTATATATTGTGCGATAGTGACTCTGTTTAAGGATAAGTTTGAAATTCTGAAATTCTGAAGTTTCTCGTGCAGTTGATAGTTATACTGTATAATGGTAATTTGACAGCTCTGAATCGTACTTAAGTTTTTTGATGAAACACAATTTCTTATGGTTTTTGACTGAAGTTTTTACTTAAGTCATTTTTTCACTTAAGTTAGATTGAAGTTTTTTGATGAAACTGGCCCCTGGACTAAAGTTAAGGAAATTAAATCGAAAATTCTGAATTTGCAGAATGCTCACGATTGTATTTGGTTTTCATTCGAAATACCTTCCTTCCTAGATAGTTTCATATTTTTCACCTCGATGCGATTTTGAAGCTGCGCTAGTGAAACTGTTCTACATAAAAACGGTCAAAGACTTAAATTTTACTTTAGTTTCATTCCGCGTAGAATTTAGTTCTCTATCTTGTACATCATAAAAAGATTCTAGATACTCTCTTAAAATTTTCTAGACCCACTCTTGTGAGGAAGGCAGATATTTTAAAAAATAGGGTTTTATTAAAATATAAATCTATCTATTAAAAGAAAATGTTTAGTAATGCTTCCTACAGAATGAAGAAAAAAAGTAAAAACGTAAGAGACTGACTTATTTTTGGACATTTTTTGCGAGGATTTATTTTATATATAAGGTCTCGTAATGGGAGAGGTAAGATCTGATTTGAAAGAAAACAGATAGAATCAAGTGTAGTCTGCTCGTTACAGCCAAGAATGGATACGAAAAATGTTTGAAGTTGGCATACGATGACTTAGAAAAAGAGTCCCAAAGAAAAATTATTCGAAAAATCACTCGGAACTTGTTTGATCTATAAACCCTTTTTCCCGACGTTATTTCTTAATAGAAAATTGTGCGTTTTGTAGACAATTTGATTCTCTGTCTCCTCATGATGTTTTCAGAATTTGATCAAAAAATAAGTGAAGTAGGGAAAGCAAACTAAATATTTCAAAAATTCAAATTTGAATTTTCATGTTCAAAAGTAATTTTTTATTCACTATATGGTTGATTTTCGTAATCAGCGTGCAAAAGTGCTCCTGATAATGTGTGTGTAAGGTTTATTGCAGAGAAAAATTTTGTTTGAATTGCCAGCATGTTGACAGACCGTTATGAGAACAGGTTCGTAAGCACTTGAACAAAGTATTTAAAACTTTTAGTCAAACACGAATTAATCTGATTAAAAAACATGACACTTCTTAATAAGATCTTAGTAGGGTTTCGTTTCCATTCCTCTAGGATTTTAGAAAAATCTTTTCAAATCTTAGAATTTTTGAATCTCACGATCTTAGTAAGATTTGTCTTGGATCTTGGGGAAATAGAAGCCTTCTATTTTCTGCAAGATATTAGTAAGATCTCTCTCAGATATTAGCATGATTTGAGTAAATTTCTTACTAAGATGGGATCTTAGCAAAAATTTGAACCTACTTATGTGTAACTATGCCATGCCGAAAAAGATTTTGGAACCTATTTCTTTCTTTATACACTAAATGATTTTTATTCATAATAATTCTCTTTTATTTACAGTTATAATAGTTTCTAGAATTTGACATCGATTTGTCGTTCACTCGTATCTCTAATTTGACACTTTTTATTTACCCAATATTCGGACGAAAATTTATTTAAAGATAAATCCAAAGGTAACTTGAAAATACTTTTTATTATAAGGTGAAATGATTCGATTTTCGGCATAAATCGAGTAAAAATGTCTTCCCATCTTTGATCATCCAAAAAATTATCATATCGTGAAGTGAGAATAAATTTCGACAACTTGGGACAATAGTATCCAATATGCTCGAGATCATCGAAATGAGGGCAATATCCATCTTCGAATACGAGTGATTCTAGGTTTAATAATCTGGCGGAGATCAGTCGTTGATTTAGATATTTATGGTCTGGAATGCAAGAGAGATATTTTAAATACGGAAAGTTTCTGGCTAAATATCCAAATGATTCATCGGTTAGATCTAAATAATCAATGATTAACGACTCAATATGATTGTTGTTATTCTCTGGTAAATCAATGGTATAATTAACAGTCAGGTTGTGCAATATTAACGATTTTAAGTGCGGCAGTCGAGTAACGATGAGAGCTAAAACTTCACTATTTTCATCATATTTCGTCCGTTTAAATTGAATTGACAATGTCGTTAATTCTGATAACTTGGATAAATTATTAGGAATAATCACATGTACATCATTTGGTTGAGATACATTGGTCAGGGACACTGTCCGAATTGCACAATTTTGACTGCTTTGGAAATACCTTGTAAACAAATTAAGTTGATCATTTTCACCAGATAATTGCAACGAAACGATTCGGTGTTGAAGTGATGACGAAATGTATTCACAATAAAGTTGTATGTCGGATGATGTTTTTATTTGAGTCAAATCAAATGTAAATTTTCTTATTTTCAATACAGCTGTATCGAATGATGGTGAAATGTGACCGTAGAACGCCGACAGTATATCAACTGCAGACAGATAGTTAAAGACTTCGTAAAGCAAATCAACAGTTAAATCGGTGAATCTAGTGCACATACTGTTTCTAATTCTAAGATATTGCAAAATGGTGATGAACTCTATATCACCTTTTCTACAGAATAAATATTATTAGGTAAAAGATTGATTATATCATAAATAAATACTTGTTTTTATATATCAACATAAGAGAAATAGAGAACAGAACGTCATTGATGACTATTGTTTGTCATGTTATTGTGCAATCGCACTCTCGTCATTCTTACACAATTCATGATGTCGACAGTCCCACAGGATATTTGAACAAAATTAACGATAATAATGTTGGTTACAAGACTCAAATCTTTCTTGAAAGGTAGTCTCGAAACCTGAAAGGGTTTCATATAGTGACATTTTCAAAAACCATTTTTAAGTTTTCAAGAATGCTCTTTTATTTTTACAGTGTACTGTCTGTTTCCAAAAAGAATGGCCGTGACCAGTTTTTGAATTTCTGCGGAACGAAAAGAGTCACAGACTTGCGGTCTCCTTCATTCGTTAGCCAACACCTGAATGCATCTTTTCATAATCAGAAGGTTTGGAGAATGATTTCTTAAAAATCCGATAGTCTAACAATAGTAAGCATAGCAATATATTATTTTAGTGCACGGACAGACAGTCCAAAGTATCCTCTTCGACAATGGAACTAAGCAAATCTTAATTTTTCATCCTGCAGGCGTGACATTGGATTTCCTGAGAGCTCCATTATCAATATTATTTTAGATGAGCATTTTTGAGTAAAATTAAAAAGTTCATCAATCAGTTAGGATCCATTCAAATTATGTCAGAATACCAAGATATACTCTATTTGATCTACTCTGCTCACTATAATTTTTTTCCTTCAGAATAGTAAAAAGTTCTATTACTTTGGAAAATTTTCAGAAAATCTTTTCAAAAACCAAACTGTTTTCTGTCGATCTTTAACACTTTTATTGAGCTCCATGATATGATGTAAATAAAGTAGGGTATATCTTGATATTCTTGATCATGGGGCTCTCAGGAAATCCCATGCCATGCCTGCAGGATGAAAAATTAAGAGTTAATTTAAATTCCGAAGAAGAAACTTTGGACTATCTATCCATGAAGAAAAACTGATATATGGCTATACCAGATGTTCGCTTTATGAGATGGTTTTCTAGAGATCCATTGGACAACCGGTTTTCGAGAAATAATTTCAGAAAATGTCTACATCTGAAAAGATGCATCCAGATCTTGGCTAACGAATAGAAAAACCGTAGGTCTGTAACTTTTTCGTTCTGGATAAATTCAAAAATGGCAACGGCTATTCTTTTTGGAAATAGACAGTGGTATAAAATTTTTTCGTTTTTTAGAGGGCTCAGACAGAATCGGCCAGTTTTCCCAAAATACTCAAGACGAACTCTTTCTTTATTTATTACTGATTACGAACTTATTATGTTTTCTTAGTGATGAATGTGCTATATTATAGAGCATCAATTGTTTTATATATTGCCAAAGTGTATTGAACAGCAGAAAATGCTTCACTTTTCTTTGTGTCTACATCCATACCATCCATTTTCTTTTTCTCTCTCCATTTCAGCAGCATCACCAGCACCCTCGACAAACAGTTACATTAGTATGGGTATTATTTTAACAACAACAACACTACATACGCACATCATCCTATGATTATCTGTTCGTCAGAAATGCCAATTTTTCCGGAGACATAAATTATGTCTGAATTACAATAGTATCGAAGCAGTACAACCTGTGAACTGGATATTTTGATACAAGTTTATGTGTTCGTTAACGAACACATAAGCTAACGAACGTCGTTAGCTTTTTGTGCAGACTAAAAACCTTGAAAATATTGTCTCTGCAAAGGGCTCAACTTAGGTTGGTAACAAAAAGATCAATGGATCAACTCCGACTTTGTTCGTCGAAAATTCTCAACTTTTACCTAGACATTATAGTCTGCCTTATTTCAACAGGAAGGTGCTGAAACGAACAGCATATGATTCAATATATGGCCGTACGATCACAAAAAATAGTGCACCATAATTCTGAATGCATTTCTCACCAATAAAAATATTTAGAAGGAAAGACTATGCCCACCAGCGAGTTACAGCTTATGGCCAAAATCAAAGTTTCACCTTCTTTTGTGTTAATATATTATTATTTATAGACGAAACTATGATATTACAGTTTGAATTAATTCCCAATGATGACGCTGATGTTTCACATATGGTTATTGGTGACCTAGATCTTGAACAAAATCAAGAATTAGTAGAAATGGTAGGTTGTAGCTACAACTGCCAGAAAAGGAATACAACGTACGCAGGACCATGCTTTTCTTTTGCGCAACAGATTAAAACTAATGTGGCTAGATCAGCAGCAGACAATCCGATGAATGTCACAGTTGTCAAAGCGGCTATTTATATCGTTCAACAGACGACAGAAGAACGCCGACAAAAAAGGTATATATATCACATGAACTCCTATGTATGTATGTACTCCTATTATATTCTAGGACAACAATAACATAAAAAGTCATGATGGAAGTTACTGAAATGGTCAGTATGTCATCTACGTGTGATCAACAATGCATAAACTTAACAATGCAACTAATGATACAAACATCTAGTACGACAACATTGACAGCACTGACAATGAATCAGACATCGACAATAACGAATGTCAATACTGTCATCAGAGCAGCCACAATATGTTAGTATAACTACTTAGTATAAAGAGAGTTTCTGTTTCAATGCACATTTGTCTTAGTTGCTATGGTTCCTATTGTGACCTTCTATTCCGGCATCGGTTTAACTGGCACCACATTTCAAATAATTGCCACGGGTGTTTATCGAACATTTGCGCTCTCGTCAGGTCAAACAGAGTGTTTCAGTTCTGTTTCACTCGGCATGATAGTGATGGGTCGCATCAACCCAATGACGATGAATTTCGTACCAAAATCATGGTCAATACCATACGGATATCAATTGAAAGTATTTGAGCCGTTTATCAATGATGTCAACCTCTTTTTTGCAGGACACAAGCAAGTAAGCAAGTTTTGCTTTCTCCAAGCAGTTATTTAACAGTTATGAACAAATTTGAGTCTGGAAAATCATTTAATTCAGCCTTGGTACCAACATCGAACAGCAGGAGATGCAGCAGCCCAGTCCATACCAAAAAAACTACCTACCTTATGGTCACTAGCTTCTGAAATCT